GCTTTTCTCCCTTCTCCCGCACAGCTTCAGAGTGAGTGATCCTGGAGGCCTCCATCAGCCCATGCACAGAAAGCCTGACACCCTCCCCAGCCTCCTGACAGGAGGAGCCACCTGAACAGGTGCCTGGGAACTGCCCTGCAAAGCTGAGACCTGCTGCCTGAGATGAGGGGACAGCCAGGGTTATGCCTCTGTGAGGAAGTCCTGAGAGAGCCCCATGCTTCCTCCTGAATCCTTGAACCTAGATCCCACAGGTGTGCTGGAATTAGAAATGTGCAATGCCATCCCTCATTCATGCGGCCCTGAGGATGGGGCCCAGGGGCTTCATGCCTGTGAGCTGGGCAATCTACCAAAGGAGCGACATCCACAGCCGCAAAGATCCCCACTTAAAATCCGCTTCCGTGCTAAAACTCGGAGTGTCCCACCTTTCATTTTACAGTGAGCACAGTCTGTTCAATAAAGTTTTAAATAAAAATCTACCTAGTGTCTTTTGAAGAAACTGAACAGACCACAGCCTCCGAAAGCTCACGTTTGCAAAGACACAGGCCGGAAGAGAGATGTGAACTCTGGGCGCAGAGCGGCAGTCTTCCCCTGGGCTCGCCATCCAGCCCTTTCCCTTTCTGGAACTTTCCATGGCCCAGCCCTAGATGACTGGTGCAAAAGCCCCGCTGTGAGCTGGAGCGCAGCCCTCTGTGATCTCAGAAGGGCAGCAGAGCCCCTCTGGCCAGGCCAGATGCTCCCCCCCGCCTCTATCTACCTATCTATCTATCTATCTATCTATCTATCTATCTATCTATCTATCTATCTATCTATCTCTATCTCTCTCTCTGCTACTATTGAGTCTGTGAGAAGCTGAGCCCATCTTCTTATATGGCCTTCCAGCCACAAGCCTTAGCCAACTGAACTCAATGGTGGCATGGTCCTCTGGCCAGGCTCAGTCAGAATCCTCAGGGGCAGCAGGACTTGGACTCCAAGGAGCCGGCAGGAGGGTCAGAGCCTGGCCAGCAGGTGATGTCATAAGGAGAGAAGGGTAGACAGGAGGTGTGGGCACTGGCTCTTCTCTGTGAGAGGGAAGTCAGGCTGAGCTGTCCATGGGCATGTGGATGACAAGCAAGAGCCTGAAGCAACCAGAACTCTGTCCTTAAACACCAATGGCCTTGAACAAGTTCAGAGATAAAAAATACACCTGGGTCTCATGAGCGGTAAACGCTTCTAAAATGCTAACCACCGTGCTGACTGTAGCGTCTGGTTGCTGTTCCTGTCACATTCAGAACCCAGAACCTTGCCTGGCCCACAGCAGGTACTCAATAAATATGCGTTTAGGGACCAGTGGATGAAAATAGCTCAGGTGCCAAAGAGCACAGAACCCTCCGAAGGAGTCCCCCAGCCCCCTTCCTCCTCCCAGCTCTTGCTCTTCATGGACAATAAGAGCCTCGGCATTCTGTGCCCCCTTCCTGGTCCACGCACCCACCCCAGGTCCCCAGCCCCACATCATGGCCTGGGCCCACACACCCTGGCCCCTCACATTCTAGTTACACTGGCCTCTTTCTGTTTGTCTCAAGGGCTTTTCCTCCCGGGCTCCTGGGCACAAGCTGTGCCCTGCCCCGACCCCCAGTGTCCCATGTCCTCAGCCCCAGCCCCCATCTCAGAGAACTCCACTGATCTCTGCCCGTCTGCATTCACTCCTCTGTTTCACATGCCCAAAGCTCTGGGAAGTTTTCCTTTCTACCACTTGACAGAGTTAATCCACCCACCACCCGCCAGATCCAGATCCATCGCTGTCCCCTGCCCCCCTCACAAAAGAGCCACAACTCAATATTCTTCCCGAGCATAGAGCCATGCCCAGCTGATGACACAGAGGTGGGAAAGAACCACAAATGAATCTGCCGCTGGATGGACTATGAAAAGCCATTTCCAGGCCCTTGCCTCCATCGGATGTCAGGCATTCTGGAGCTGACCATACTGTCCCTTCCCTTCCCCTGCAATACTCGGAAGCTGCCTCTGGTAGTCTTTTTTCTTCTCGTCTGCCTTTAGTGAGCTTCTTCATCAGGACCCAGTGTCCCAGCAACCCACAGGCCAGGGTCCCCTCCTCAAACAACTAGGCCTTGTCAAAAATAATACTTTTTTTTTTTTTTTTTTTGCATAAAGTGGTGTTAAAATAGCTGGTAACTGAACAGCCCTTCTGCCACAGAGACTCAAAACAAGACAAAAGGTCACAAGGCCAATGACTGTGAGAGAGGACACACCTAACAGTCTGTGGTCCTGAGGGCAGGGATGCCCATAGGCAGGCCAGTCCACATTTGCTTCCCTTCCCACCGGGGCTGGAGATCAAACAGCATGGAGTCCCCCTGAGCCAATCTGCTGGACTTCAGCCTCCCTGGCTGCTGCTTGCTGGAATCCAAGGAAGTGATGTCAGAGAGGATGTGACTCCCTGAGGGCCTCAAGGCCCTGGCCAAGGGCTGTGCAAGCACAGAGGGCAACTGTGATGGGGACAGCGGGGGACTTGAGAGGCTGCAACTAGACTAGGGCTGATACTTTCTGGCTCACCAGAGTGGAGCTGACCTACCAATTACCCAGAGGCCAGGCCTTGGAGTCAGGGCATCATCAGTATTCCCCTACCCATGGAGGCCCAAAGCCAGTGCCCACCGCGATCCACCAGGAGCAAACAGGGTGCGTCCCTGGTAGTAGGGAGCAACCGAGGCTTCGCAAAGGTGGCCCCTGGCAGTAAGGAGCAACCGAGGCTTCACACAGGTGGCCCCTCTCCATCCAGCTATACAGTCAGCTGGCACAGTTCACGGTGGATCCAGGACTTGGGCTGACTGCCATTAGAGAATGATAGCAAAATCCAGCCTATACTCCCTGTAGGTCAGCCCCGTGTCAGAGCAGAAGGCACAAGCACAGATACACGGAAAAGGGGAAGGAGAGGGGAGGGGAGGGGAGGTGAAGGGAGGGGCTGAGAAAAGGAGAAGCTGATTTTAGGACTACCAGGTCAGAGAGCAGCCTGTACAAGAATTTTTCATTTTTCTCCCCTTCTCCTTGGCATCTACTAATTGTGCAGAACAATGGGCTTCAGAATGGCTTTGTCATACCTGTGTAGCAAGTGCTTTGATCACAGTCAGGAGCCCTAACTAGGGGAACATGCTCAGGGCACTTAGGGAGAGCTTTTGGGTTTGGGGGTTTGTTTGTCTGGTCTCTACTTCTATACTCCTGCTTTGTAATTTCTAAAGAAGCTTTTAATATATATATTAATATGTTAACATATTATAATATGTTAACATATTAATATATATATTGGTACATTTAGCCAGGACCTAGATATCAGCCACGCAGTCTCTGGCCTGGAACAGGACCAGTCCGCACGGTGGGCAATGGAAGGTGTCATAGCTGAAAGAATTGGTGAGTTCCTTGGCAAACTGAAGGACCTAAAGCAAACAGCTTCTTCCCCTTTCCCTCTACTCTTTGGCGGATCCCTCGAGAAACTGCTTTGTAGAAAACTCACACACTGCAGCCGGACCCCGCCAAAGCTAAGATGCTGGGGCTCCGAGCAGAAGCCCCAGAAGAGAAGTCGGAAGAGGAAGACCTTAGAAACAAAATGTTCCAGTTCAACGCGAACTGCCCAGAGCGCAACAGCTCAGACCAACATGAAGCTTGTCCAAATGCCCCACTTCAAAGAGGGTATCATCATGGCCAGCAGCCACAAGAATTGTGTGTATCCGACTAATGAGGTGAAGTCCAGCGGAAAGGCCGAGCCCTTGGTCACCAGGATCACTCTCCGCATCACCGATGCCTCAGACATGACCCGAGACCTCCTGAAGTCTGAGACCCGTGACAGGGAAATCCTGGAGCTCGAGTTTGAGCGGAGAATGGCTATCCTTGGAGGCAAGGTCACCGCTCTAGGACTGCCGAGAGACATCCAAGAATTGGTAACCGAGAACCCATTCACACGGGGCCACAGCTCGAATCCTGATCACTCAGAGAACCTGCAGGTGGTTAGTGGGAAGTTGGACCAGATGATCGAGGGGGCGGTGAAGGCCTACTTTATCACGAATGATCCAGCAGGAAACAAGTTACCTGCAGAGCGTGTATGCCCCCTGAAGATGATTTGGAGATGCAGGTAGAACGGGACAAGCGCACCTTTGACCAAAATGAGGGGCTTGGCCCCAACAACATGAAGACGGAGGATTATGGGGCAGGCCTGGCCCCACAGCGGTAGCAGTGGGCAGCTCACAGCTCATAGGCCACTCACACCGCAGGCTTTTTTTTTTATTACTATTGGAAAAACAATGAGCATCCAAGACCTCACCTATGGTGAGGAGGAAACCGCTTGAGCTAGGAATCTAAGCACGTGAAGTGAGCAGCTGGCGAGGCGGCTGCAGGCCCACTGTGCTCCTTGACCTCCTTTTGGAGGCTTTGAGGGAGTGTGAGAAGAAACACCATGTGGTCTGCCGTCACCTTTTGCCTGTGAGCTCCCTGACCTCCAATGCTGGGCCCTGAAGTTTGAGTGGGTGAACTGCAGCTGGCCTTAGGCGTACAAAGTGCCAACTTTCAGCAGGAAAGAAGGTCTGAGGGGCCTAGCGAGCATAGGTGAAGAAGCTTACCTTAAAGTGACAGCTTTTAAATGAATAAACAAACAAAAAAGGCAGGACTCGGTGGGGGGGGGGGGCAGAGGCAGATCTCTGTGAGTTGGAGGCCATCCTGGTCTACAGAGCGAGTCCAGGACAGCCAAGGCTGCACAGAGAAACCCTCCCCCACAAAACAAAAAGGAAAGAGAAGAAAAGGCAGGACCATCTTCCACATGGACATCATGTTTCCTCGCCCTGCTCTGGACACTTCCCCACAGACTGCAGTTCTCCGGTAAGCTCTCCACACACAACATCTCAGGCTTCCCTCCCACTCCAAGGAGAGAACCTGAGGTATCCACAGTCTTACAAGCAGCAGCAAGGCAGAGTGAATCTCCTGGTGACAGGTGCAGGCCACAGAAGTAAGAGAATGTGAGTCCATACCTGCACCACAGGGTGGCCTCCTGTTGGGGCCTTGACAGCGCCGCGGCTGCCCTCTGTCTCATAGTGGGCCCGGTGATGGGGCTTGGGCTGGACCTCGATCCGAAGCTCATAGGAGCCTGACTGATTGGAGAGCGGCCACTCTAGGGGAGGGAGGGACGCAGTCACAGGAATGCTGTGGGAAGAAAAGACCCGGTCGTGAGGACACAAAGCCAAATCCACCTGTCTGTACACTAAATGTAAATGGCCCCTCTTCTGTGCCCAGGGGTACAAGAATAAAATGCTGAGTGTTGAGGGGCTGCAGATCGCTTAGACATGACAGTGGAACTCGTCACAAGGCAGGGACCTCCCTTTGCTTTCATTTTCATCCTGATGAAGACAGTGTAGTCGGCTTCATACGGAACGAAGCTAATTTTATTAGGTGTGGGGTCTTGCCTGTTTCCAGTGAGTGCAATGGCTTCTCTAGGAATTGTAAAGAACCCGACTTTGACCTCTCTAAAACATCCCTCTGCCAGAATGCTTTCTTTTCCAGAGGGCAAAGGTAAGTGCGGCAATGCTTCAGGGAGCTGTCACCGCCGCACTGTGGACTTAAACACTTCACCTCTCTTAGGAACACTCATGGCAAGGAGACCAGGTGATAGCTGTGAGGGTCTCTGTCTGATTATCTTGATTATCAAAAGTGCATTTGGGAGTGAGCGCAGGTCCACTCAGAATCACTAATTGAGGGGCCACTGCGTGTGGGGTTCCAGAAGCGCAGAGAAGAATCCAGCTTGGGCATGGACGAACCAAACCACGTGAACCCAAAGAGAAGTGCAAAAGGACAATCGCTATCATGACTGGAGTTCCACAGCCAAGTGCATGGCCTTGCCCTCGCACCCACTCTGCTGTGACTTCGAGCAGATGCCTGCAACTCTCTAGGTCCCAGTTTCCTCAACTGTGAAGGGGCATGCTGAAATCCTGCGAGGAGCTTAGCCGCAAGGTAACAACCATTAGCGAGCGCTAATAGTTTTTCCTGGAAAATGCACACAATACATATGCACACACACAAACACATATATATATACATGCACGTACATATACACACATGTACATGTACACATATCACATATGTACAGGGACACACAAATTCTTATCCACACAGGTACATGCTCACATAATATACCATACACAGACAGACATACAGGGACACATACATACACACGTAATAGAGCACACATACAGACATACCACACATGCATGTACATAGACATAGACATACACACAATATGTATATGGGCACATATATACATGCGCCACACACGCACATATACAACACATGCACAAACACATACACCCCACACACATGCTCATGCACATATACAAATACACACATACGTGTCCATACACACACTACAGCACACACACAGGCACATATACACACCCACACACCACACCACACCACACCCTTCGTTTTCTCTGAGCTCTGATCTGGCTATGGCGTTGGATGCACAGACCAGCCTTTGAGGGCAGGGCCCTTATAAGGAATGGCCGAGTGAAGGCGTAAAGGATGTGCCCCCTAGGTGACGGCCACTGTGGAGAATGTGCGCCAACACCCTCACGACCGCCTGCTGTATCAGAGGCACCCACAGCGCCCACTTCACAGATGAGGAAACGAAGGCTCGGGGCAGTGAGCATCCTTCCCAGGTGCAGTAAGTGTCACCCATGTGACCAAATTCCACGTAAATAACAACAACACCCGCTCTTCGCGCACACTTGGGAGCAGACCGCTCTCAACGCCCCACCTACCTGCAGATGGGAATGGCTGGCACCAGCTGTTTGGGCCAGGTGGGCGGTACCAGCAGGATGGACTCCGGAGCGGAATTCCTCCTCTCCTCCTGCTCACACGGCCCCAGGAACTCCACGGCGGGGTAGATGTGGCGGGCCAGGCCCGCCTTGGAGGGGGCGGTGGGCACGGGAGTCGGGTCAGGACTGGTCTTCCATATCTTGGAGGGGATCCCGCAGGGCGAGTCGGCGGCCAGGCTGTTGAGGGCATCCATGAGAACAGCGGAGCCGGCCGTGGGGGGGTACCCAGCGGGGATGCCGTCGTCCTGGGGTGCCACGTGCGGCGAGGGCTGTGGCGAGGGGCTCCGGGAGCGCTGGGGCGAGGCTGCGGGCAGAGGGGCAACCAGGGCCTCTGCGCACGAATGCCTCCGCTTGGCACCGGGTGAGGAGGAGCGGGACGCCGGACGGGGCACGGGCGAGTGTCGGCCCAGGTAGCTGTCCTCGGCGAGGCTGGTTCGAGGTGACATTATTGGAGAGGTTCTGGGGGAATAATGAGCAGGGATGTTTTGAAACTGGGGACACAGGTCGTCGGGCCCGGCGTTATTGGGTGAGACGCAGGGCGAGGTGTAGGGGGAGAAGGTGTCAGAAATGAAGCTGGCAGAGGAGCCGCTGCTAGCGGGGCTCAAGCAAAGCGGCTCGCGGTAGCCCTCGAAGCCCGGCACGGGCAGCGTGAACCTCGGGCTGGCGCCCACGCCAGCCAGGGCCACGGCCGGCTGCTCGGGGGACAGGCCGGTGTCTCTCCCACGGAGGGCCCCCCCTGCCTGCATCAGTTCGTGGGATGGAGTGATCTCGATCCGAGGGCTTGGGCCCGAAGCCCCTGCTGGCTTGGCCGGGCTCAGAAAGTTCTGGAACCCTAGCCTATCCGGCTCTCCGAACCGGCCAGGGGGCTCGCCAGAGAGACTGGCGAGGGGGTTGCATGGCTTGAGGCCATAATCCAGGACATCATTCGGGTATGCGAGTCCGGAGGGTGAGCTGATGGCCTTATGTGCGCTCGTTTCTTCTGGAAAGAGAAGGGGGGAGGGGGGTCTCAGAACCGGGCTGCAGAGTCACAGTCATGGGTGGGCGTGGCCTCCTGTCGCTGGTCGGGTTTTTACAGCCCTCCATGCCCAAGGCCTGAGCTTGCCTCAAGAGAGTCAGAGCGACAGGCGTTGGCTATGGCAGCCGTGTGGAAGACAAACTCCAAGCTGAGGCCTCAAACCACACCTCAGCACTGAGTTTTAGAAACTGCCTGGTGTGAACAAGTTTGATCCCCCAAGGGCCTACATAAAAGTCAGGCATGACAGTGCACTCCTGGCCTGGCAGAGACGGGGATCCCAGAGCTCACTGGCCAGATGGTGCAGCCAAATCGACTAACTACAGGTTCAGGGAGAGACCCTGTCGTAAAAAATAAGGCTGGAGAGCATTTGAGGAAGATACCCAACATCAAGGTCTGGCCTCCGTATACACACGTGTGCACACCTGTGTTAACACGTCTCTATACACAGAAGAGATGCTCACGTGGATTTGGGAGCTCCCACAGCTCGCAGCACCACAGACCCACGGCTGGGCGATGAGCACCCCAGCCTGGGATCTTACCTTCTGAGCCTCCCTCCCAGCTGAGGTTACTTCAGGTCAGTGTGGCCACAACCCCATGCCTGGTGACTCTCCGGGGCTGCAGCTGGCCTCATCGTTTGACGTGTATGATGTGGCCACAGGACGCAGAGGGGCAACATGGGCTCTAGGATCCATGGAGCCTGTGTTTGAGCGACTTTCTAGAACCAGGATCCATGGATCCTTCAGGTCCCTTTATAGATGTGGCCCAGGAGGGGACAAGAGTCCCCAAAGGTATGGAACTACCCAACTCAGAACTCCTTCAAAGCAGCCACCTTGGTCACCAAACATCAGGATCATGGCCACCGAACCCCCAAAGTGTTTAACAGGAGGGGATATGAGGCGAACAAATACCTCCTCAACAGCGGCAGCCATTTGGGGTTTCTGTTGACCCATCTCAAGGACCCACCACTGAGGAGAGGGTCACCCCAGTAGATCAGGTTGCTCTACCACCTCATTCTGTCCCTTGATCCCCAAGCCTGACCCCATACAGTCTTCACTGGGGAATTTCTGCAGAGCCACCAAGGGATGCTAGTTCCCTCTACCCGACACTGACTCTTTCACCAAGCCACTACTTCTCTATTTGTGGTGGGACCAGCCTTAGCTCCTCGGCTCTCATGGCTCTTTCCCCAGCCACCAACAAATCCTGACCTCTGTGCTACCAAGACACAAGCCAGCAGTGTAGTATTCCCTGCACAGCATGTATGTCTTGAGCCAAGGACCCCAAATCTCCTCTGACCAATGTCCACTCTGGAAGTTGTCCTTCTGTGTGTCCTCAGGCCCTTTAGTCATCATGGGTCCCATCTGTCATTCTCACCTGCCTCCCCCAAGCAGCTCGGAGAAAGTCCTATTGACCTCTTCTTGAGCCTTCCCTCTCAGAGTCCTTGAGAGAGTGCTCTCCTCTCCCTTCAAGATCTTCCAAGGAATGCTTCCCTTACTCCATGCATCTGCTCTACCAGGGCCAGGTAAACCGCACCCCAAGGGCCCACATTTTATCTGCTGATAAAGTTTAATTGGTACACAGCCATGACTATTACTCACGTAGGGCCCAGGGCCTGCTTCTTCACTGGAACAGGAGAGCTTAGAGTTTTGGCAAGGTCTACGTGAGCCGCAAATCTTAAAATGTTTACTCCCTGGCTCTTTATGGAAGTTGGTAGTTCTACTCTTAACTAAGCTCCACTGAGATTGGGTCCACAGCCACTGTGGGTCAACATTGTTTGCCTGACACCCACCACAGTACCTGACACTTACAGGCCTCCACAGACACTTGGGAAGTGACTGAGAGAATAAACAAGAACCATGCCCAGGGCCCTGCAAGCCAGGAGTGGGATCTCCTACTCTGGTAACCCCCGGCCTTTGTGTGCCTTTTCTGGGCCACCATAGAGAAAGTGTTCTCTGGCATGGCTGACCTGACTTCAGAATGCCCAGATGGTGTCTCTATTCCACATGAGAACTCCCAGGGGCTGCCCACCACTCTTAACCGGAGGACGAATTAATTCACTTGGGCCAGTATGGCTGGGGTCCATCTGTCTACCCTCAGCCTCTCCTTTCTCTGGATTCCAGGCAAAGCAGGGTTTGGTGGGGAAGTACCCACTTCCTCCTCGCCTCAGGACTTTGCTGTTGCTGTTCCCTCAGCGGCTCCATTCACCCATGCCCACATGCTCTGCCATCCTGTGCTCCCTGAGAGCTCCCAGGGCTGCCTGTTCTGCACCCCGAATGTCTCCCAATTCTAGTGAAATAATCGGCTCCACCGGAGATGCCACGAAGACTCCCCTGAGTCACACACTGAGCCTCTGCCACATGGGTGGGAGCTGGCACAGGTAGACCCCCAGCAGAGAGGAATGCCAGCATCCCTCTGTAAAGGAATGCATCCCCATAAGAGCCACACGGGTCACCGACAGCGCTCCTCCAAATGTCGATGCCTGGCCCACGAGGCAGAGGACATCATCTGTGGAAAGGGTGACTGGGTAGGTAGCATCCAGCAAAATCTCAAATGTGCCCCCAGAGCCTTTAACAGCATCTCAGAAAGGCATCATATGGGGACTCTCACATCCTCGGGAGAGGTGAGTGGTGGGTTAGTGTCCACACCCCTGAGGCTGGAGAGGGCTGGCCAGCAAGCCCCAGCAATCTTCCTGTCTCTGCCTAACAGCAATGGGCTTACAGCAGGAGTGTGCAGCCTCATCCAGCTCTTTTACATGGGTGCCAGGATCCGAACTCAGGTCCTCATGCTTACCCACTGAGCCGTCTCCCCGGCCCTACAAAAAGGAGACTTTTTATTTCTGCATTATGCAGAGAAAACAAACTCAGTTTCCCAAACATAATTAGCATAGGAACAGGTGGCAGGAGGTGGGGGTGACGTGGAATATACCATGTGACAATGAAACTCTGCTGACAGGGCGGGAAACAGCACCTAGCCTCGCTCTGCTGCTAACTGGCTGGTGGCAGAAGAAAAGTCCCCACCCACTCCGGGCCCCACAGTCTCACTTAGAACAGAGTAGAGGAAAGGCACATCTGACTCTTTCACGGCTTTGATTTTTTTTTTTTTCTAGCTCGGGACTGCAGGGCTGGAGTTCATAGGATGCACAGCCAGGGTGAAGATGCGTCTGTTTGAGCTGGTGCACGTGTTCACACACACACACACACACACACGCTGCTTCAGAGCCCCACGGAGCAGCCAGGCCCACTGAGCCCAGCACTGCAGTGTTTACACTGCTTTAATCTCTCCTGGTAGCAGTTTTCTTTCTTTCATCTCCCCCCCCCGCCCCTTTCTCTCCCCAAGTCTATAAATGTTTAACAGCAAGCAGGGGTGGGAAAGTAACAAACACCCTCTGCCTTCTCTGGGATTTGACAGCAAATCTCACAAATGATGAGCCATTAAACCTCCTTCTGTGAGCGGCTGGGATCCTCACTCTCGGGCTCTTCCGAAGCAGCCCATGGATACAGTGAGACCCTGCAGTCTCACCTGCCCAGAGCCCAGAAGAAAGCCAGCCCATCTCAGAACCACACCTCGCTGTCAATTTTCTCAGGAGACATTTCCATATTTCCATAAACCTCTTTGCAAGATCTTGGCTGTAGGCGGCGTTGCCAGTAAACATCATGTACTCACTATGTCTGCCCAAATCCACTCCCATCTTTTCTTTTCAAATGTATTTTATTTGTGCATGTGCACCTGTGTGTTCGTGCATGTGTGTGTTCGTGCATGTGTGTGTTCGTGCAGGTGCTCACAGAGGCCAGATGAGGGCGTCAGAGCCCCCTGAAGCTGTAGCTGCAAATCGATGCTCTGAAAGCAGCAGCAATCGCTCTTAACCATCTGTCCAGCCAGAATGGTTCACACCATTCCGGGAGGCTGAGGCAAGAGCATCACCTAGTTCAGGCCCTGTCTGAACTAGAGAGTGAGTTCAAGGCCAGCATGGGCAATTTAGTAAGACCCTATGTCAAAATTCAAGCATTTGGAGGGCTGGGGGTGTGGCTCAGCGGTGGAAGGCTTGCCCAGCACATGTGAGGCCGCGTAATCTCTAGTACTAGAGGCAGGGAGAGGTGACTACAGTCAAGCGGGGCCGTCTAGGCAAAGGCTCTAAGCCTGCATCTCGACCCCCACCCTCCCACTGCTTCTTCTCTGAGGTATAATTTGTATGGCAAGCAGAGGTGAACGGGTTTTGTCAAACACCAAATCTCTTGTTTTGCCAGGACTGTCAAGATGGCACAGGTTTCTGTGATCCCGGACAATGGGAAGGCACACAGGCAGCAGAGGAGAACCCACAGGTTAGAAAGGCACTCAAGACTTGGCAGCTCATACTCCAGTTCCTGGGGGGGGGGGGGGGTGCCACCCTCTTCTGATATCCAAGAGCACCAGGCTTGCACGTGGTGTCTAGCCGTGCATGCAGGCAAAACCCACACACACATAAAAGAAATGCTTTTCTAAGGAGGAGCCAGCTCTCTCCGTGTGCCATGTACTCAAGGTGGACCACCTCCCTGCCACCTGCCATGAGATGCCTGGCCTACCCTTGAGATGCCAGTCTCCAGAGGAAGGAGGGAGGCAGGAGCCGTGGCTGCTCCAAGCCCTCTATCTTGCCCTGTTCCCACGCGCGCGCGCACACACACACACACACATGCATGCACGCGCGCACACACTTTGTACTTGTTTGCTTCACTTCCCCAGACTTCCCTTCCATAGCTCCAGCTTCCTTCTCCTGGGCCACCGTCTGCCTGGCTAGCCAGACTGCAGTACAGCAGCCTCTAAGCTCAACACCTAAAGAGCCCCATGGTGAGGTCTACTGACACAGTCACTGGCTTGTCCCTCTACCCCGAGAAGGGGAGCTTTTCGAAACTCACTATTATTACACTAATTATAAAAATGCAGGGGTTGGGTAACTAAGTACTTGGAATGGACCCACCAGATACTGGGGTCTG